GTACCACTGTACCACTGTACCTCTGTACCACTGTACCTCTGTACCTCTGTACCTCTGTACCTCTGTACCACTGTACCTCTGTACCACTGTACCACTGTACCTCTGTACCACTGTACCTCTGTACCTCTGTACCTCTGTACCACTGTACCTCTGTACCTCTGTACCTCTGTACCTCTGTACCACTGTACCTCTGTACCACTGTACCTCTGTACCACTGTACCTCTGTACCTCTGTACCTCTGTACCACTGTACCACTGTACCACTGTACCTCTGTACCACTGTACCTCTGTACCTCTGTACCTCTGTACCTCTGTACCTCTGTACCACTGTACCACTGTACCACTGTACCTCTGTACCTCTGTACCTACCACTGTACCTCTGTACCACTGTACCACTGTACCTCTGTACCACTGTACCACTGTACCACTGTACCACTGTACCTCTGTACCTCTGTACCTCTGTACCTCTGTACCACTGTACCACTGTACCTCTGTACCTCTGTACCTCTGTACCACTGTACCTCTGTACCACTGTACCTCTGTACCACTGTACCTCTGTACCTCTGTACCACTGTACCTCTGTACCTCTGCACCACTGTACCACTGTACCTCTGTACCACTGTACCTCTGTACCACTGTACCTCTGTACCTCTTTACCACTGTACCTCTGTACCTCTGCACCACTGTACCTCTGTACCACTGTACCTCTGTACCACTGTACCTCTGTACCTCTGTACCACTGTACCACTGTACCTCTGTACCACTGTACCTCTGTACCACTGTACCTCTGTACCTCTGTACCACTGTACCTCTGTACCTCTGCACCACTGTACCTCTGTACCACTGTACCACTGTACCACTGTACCTCTGTACCTCTGTACCACTGTACCACTGTACCTCTGTACCTCTGTACCTCTGTACCTCTGTACCACTGTACCTCTGTACCTCTGTACCACTGTACCACTGTACCACTGTACCTTTGTACCACACTGTACCACTGTACCTCTGTACCACTGTACCTCTGTACCTCTGTACCTCTGTACCACTGTACCACTGTGGGCGGCACGGTGGCTGAGTGGGTAGCACTCTCGCCTCTCAGCAAGAAGGTCCTGGGTTCGAATCCCGGTCGGACCAGGGCCTTTCTGAGTGGAGTTTGCATGTTCTCCCCGTGTCTGCGTAGGTTTCCTCCGGGTACTCCGGTTTCCCCTACCACTAAAAATATGTCCAATAGTTCTGGCATTAGTACAGGCGCCTCCTGTTCGGCGACCCCGCTCCCATCTCTGTGTGGAGTGAGAGACAAGTGCCCAAAAATTAACAATTGTAAACCGCTTTGAGACGCAGATCTGCAGTGAAAAGGCGGTATATAAATAAATACTTACTTACCACTGTACCTCTGTACCTCTGTACCTCTGTACCTCTGTACCACTGTACCTCTGTACCTCTGTACCTCTACCTCTGTACCTCTGTACCACTGTACCTCTGTACCTCTGTACCACTGTACCACTGTACCTCTGTACCTCTGTACCACTACCACTGTACCTCTGTACCACTGTACCTCTGTACCACTGTACCTCTGTACCTCTGTACCTCTGTACCACTGTACCACTGTACCTCTGTACCACTGTACCACTGTACCTCTGTACCTCTGTACCACTACCACTGTACCTCTGTACCACTGTACCTCTGTACCACTGTACCTCTGTACCTCTGTACCACTGTACCTCTGTACCTCTACCTCTGTACCTCTGTACCACTGTACCTCTGTACCTCTGTACCACTGTACCTCTGTACCACTGTACCTCTGTACCTCTGTACCTCTGTACCACTGTACCACTGTACCTCTGTACCTCTGTACCTCTGTACCACTGTACCTCTGTACCACTGTACCTTATACCTTTGCTCCCAAATGTCCTGGTAAGTGGCTGTAATGAGTCTCTGTACCACTGTACCTTTGTACCTCTGTACCTCTACCTCTGTACCTCTGTACCACTGTACCTCTGTACCACTGTACCTCTGTACCTCTGTACCACTGTACCTCTGTACCTCTGTACCTCTGTACCACTACCACTGTACCTCTGTACCACTGTACCTCTGTACCTCTGTACCTCTGTACCACTGTACCTCTGTACCACTGTACCACTGTACCTCTGTACCCACTGTACCTCTGTACCTCTGTACCTCTGTACCTCTGTACCTCTGTACCACTGTACCTCTGTACCTCTGTACCACTGTACCTCTGTACCACTGTACCTCTGTACCTCTGTACCACTGTACCTCTGTACCTCTGTACCTCTGTACCACTGTACCTCTGTACCTCTGTACCACTGTACCTCTGTACCTCTGTACCACTGTACCTTATACCTTTGCTCCCAAATGTCCTGGTAAGTGGCTGTAATGAGTCTCTGTACCACTGTACCTTTGTACCTTTGCTCCCAAATGTCCCTGGTACCTCTGTAAGTGGCTGTAAAGAGTCTCTGTACCACTGTACCTTTGTACCTTTGCTCCCAAATGTCCCTGGTACCTCTGTAAGTGGCTGTAACGAGTCTCTGTACCACTGTACCTTTGTACCTTTGCTCCCAAATGTCCCTGGTACCTCTGTAAGTGGCTGTAACGAGTCTCTGTACCACTGTACCTTTGTACCTTTGCTCCCAGATGTCCCTGGTACCTCTGTAAGTGGCTCTAATGAGTCTCTGTACCACTGTACCTTTGTACCTTTGCTCCCAAATGTCCCTGGTACCTCTGTAAGTGGCTGTAACGAGTCTCTGTACCACTGTACCTTTGTACCTTTGCTCCCAAATGTCCCTGGTACCTCTGTAAGTGGCTGTAACGAGTCTCTGTACCACTGTACCTTTGTACCTTTGCTCCCAAATGTCCCTGGTACCTCTGTAAGTGGCTGTAACGAGTCTCTGTACCACTGTACCTTTGTACCTTTGCTCCCAGATGTCCCTGGTACCTCTGTAAGTGGCTCTAATGAGTCTCTGTTACCACTGTACCTTTGTACCTTTGCTCCCAAATGTCCCTGGTACCTCTGTAAGTGGCTGTAACGAGTCTCTGTACCACTGTACCTTTGTACCTTTGCTCCCAAATGTCCCTGGTACCTCTGTAAGTGGCTGTAACGAGTCTCTGTACCACTGTACCTTTGTACCTTTGCTCCCAAATGTCCCTGGTACCTCTGTAAGTGGCTGTAACGAGTCTCTGTACCACTGTACCTTTGTACCTTTGCTCCCAGATGTCCCTGGTACCTCTGTAAGTGGCTCTAATGAGTCTCTGTACCACTGTACCTTTGTACCTTTGCTCCCAAATGTCCCTGGTACCTCTGTAAGTGGCTGTAACGAGTCTCTGTACCACTGTACCTTTGTACCTTTGCTCCCAAATGTCCCTGGTACCTCTGTAAGTGGCTGTAACGAGTCTCTGTACCACTGTACCTTTGTACCTTTGCTCCCAGATGTCCCTGGTACCTCTGTAAGTGGCTCTAATGAGTCTCTGTACCACTGTACCTTTGTACCTTTGCTCCCAAATGTCCCTGGTACCTCTGTAAGTGGCTGTAACGAGTCTCTGTACCACTGTACCTTTGTACCTTTGCTCCCAAATGTCCCTGGTACCTCTGTAAGTGGCTGTAACGAGTCTCTGTACCACTGTACCTTTGTACCTTTGCTCCCAAATGTCCCTGGTACCTCTGTAAGTGGCTGTAATGCGTGTCCTCAGCCCTAACAGCTAAATGTGATTACACAGAGTCCATGTTTATCAAAGAAATGCTTGGATTAAAATGGGAAGCGCCTGGTTAGAGCAGAAGCATGACCCACGGTACACATCTGTACCTAGCATACATGTTTGAACTTACACTAAATCATAGAGCAGTGGTACGAAAGTGTAGACCACGAACAACAGGAATATAATCTACACAGATGAGATGTGGCCCAAAGTGGTACTGCAGCCTCTCCCACTCTCCCTGACTCAGGTTGCCAGATATGCAGACGAATCCAGCTGGGACCATAACAGATGAATAGACAAGAGTTTTGTCAACAACAAATCTATAACCAACACCTTTTTCACAAAGATAGAAATCCTGCTTTTATTCCTTGTTTTGTCGTTAATGATTTGAGAATCATAACGAGACCTTTTTTAGGGCCCTTTAATGATGACAGATTAGTGCCCTTTAATGAGGACAGATTAGGGCCCTTTAATGATGACAGATTAGGGCCCTTTAATGAGGACAGATTAGGGCCCTTTAATGAGGACAGATTAGGGCCCTTTAATGATGACAGATTAGAGCCCTTTAATGATGACAGATAAGGGCCCTTTAATGATGACAGATTAGGGCCCTTTAATGATGACAGATTAGGGCCCTTTAATGATGACAGATTAGGGCCCTTTAATGAGGACAGATTAGGGCCCTTTAATGATGACAGATTAGGGCCCTTTAATGATGACAGATTAGGGCCCTTTAATGATGACAGATTAGGGCCCTTTAATGATGACCAGACTTTAAAACATAAAACTAAACACATTTATTTTTCTCGCTGCCTGAGATAAAAAACATATTGAGGGAAATTAAAGATATTTCTGAATATTTAATTAAACTGTGAAACCTTTTCTAATGCAACATTTACCATCAGCTCATTTTAAAGTTTTTAAACTTTGTTTGACTTTAAAAAGCAAACGCAGAACACAAAGTACTTTCTCGACCTCGTTCTTAAAAAGACTTAATGTCATTTTGTTTGAAGTGAAATTTTATCACAATCAAAAACATGAATTACTGAGAAATGATTGTTATTAAGAGAGTTACTGAGTCGTCGCAGATTGAGTTAGCAGCAGTGGGTTTGGGACAAAAACACAGGAAAAGGCAATAATGTTTAAGAAAAACACAAGTGAATTAGATCATGTTAAATCGGATTTGTTTATTTAAGTATTTTCTAGTTTCTTGAACAACAATCATCACTTACAACTCACAGAACAGTCAATGTTATGAGTTTGTGTTTGTGTTTGACTCGACAGAAGCAGATGGAGATGCTCGGACCCAAAGGTCTGAGCACAGGTGGAGAGGGACTTGGGAGGTGGGGGCTGCCCTCTAACAGGACGCCCTCATGACAGACATTGATGCTAACTGGATCAGATGGATCAGATGTGCACACCGGGCCCTCACTTGGGTCCACTTAATGTGAGTCACAACCGTAGGTAACTCAAACCAGCTGATGTTTTCTCTCTCAGGCCGAATGTCTCAGAGGTGGAGACAGGAGAGCGCCATCGTGTGGAGGGTTACGGTACTGGGGACATGAAAGAGGAGGAGGTAAAGTCAATTACTGAAGCAATGGTAAACAAGACATGTCTCTGCTTGAGAAAACTACAAAGTCAGAGATTTTATTCTGTCTTCTTTATTATGCACATTTTATACCTTCTTTATTATGCTAAAGCTAGTATAAGATAAGATGTGTTTTATTTATCTCACAGAGGAGAAATGTACATGTCACATTTGGCATGGATAGAACACTCAGATTGTGCAAAAGGAGGAAATGTGCAAACATACATACAGGATATATGTACATATTTTCGTGCAGGTTGAGGTTCTGAGGAGAGTCCTGTACAGTCTGTGATGGTGGGAAGACTCAAACCAGGAACTTCTTTTAATCTAAATCTGTCATTCTCTCTCAATCTATCATTTAAAACCCACTTTTATCCTTTTTTCTTGTTTATTTTCCTGGGTCGGGGTCAGTCAGAGCTGTACCTAAGTCTCAGAGCACCGGCCCCTCAGTACGATCTTTCAGCGGGGGTCTCAGGCAAAGTGGGGTTAAGTGTCTTGCCCATGGACACAGCAACAGCAGACATCAGTGGGAGCAGGGGACATGTTGGGATTGAACCCACGACCATTAGGTTCAAAGACACTGTCGCAGCTTTTAACTGTTTCCAACTTCACATGTTTTTACCGTCTGCTTTATCTTCTGTATCTACTTTTAATTATTTAGACTTTGTATTATTAGTAAGTAAGTAATAGTAACTAATGTTTATTTGTATAGCACATTTTATTGACAAGATATTTACGCTGTTTACAAAGTTCAGCTGTAGTTCCATTCTCTCCACACGGTGATGACAGAAGCGAGACCCGAACACACTGGTCCATCAAAGCCTCCGACCAAACACCATCCATTCAGACCTATTGAGCATATTTTTAGTGGTAGGGGGAAACTGGAGCACCTGGAGGAAACCTACACAGACACAAGGAGAACATTCAAACTCAGAAGCACTCAGCCTCTGTTCTATCCAGGTCTATTCTGTTATTCTGTTGTTGTTGTTGTGACTGCGGCGCTCGGCAAAGCTTCTGAAGAGTTGGAGGTTCCTCGTCCGTCTTTCAAACGGCCACAAACAGAATGTTCCGTGACTGAGTCTGAAGTTCTTTGTTCCAGATTCGAACTCATTAAAGAAGAATGTGCTTTTGGCTCTTTCAGCGACAACACTTTCACTTCTGTGTTGGTCCAGAAATAACTGATCAAAATAATCTGGTTTATCCACATTTAGGATGTATCTTATTTTATTCACACATTTCATCCAACGGTCTTCATGGTTTAGAATCTTCTGTTTTATTTAGTATTAAATATATTAAAACCAAAAATGGGTAAAATCACTTTCACGTGTTTGTCTTTAAAATACTAAAATTTGTAGTATTTAATGAATTCACTTTTTCTACATAGTGCAAACTTTTACTTTTATACTTTTTTATATAAAATAATGATTTCAGCACTTTTACTTTTTAGAGATGATTTGAAAACCCTAATATAGACACTAATATAATTCAACTAAATTAAAGTAATTAATTACATTATATCATATATATATATATATATATAATATATAGATAGATAGATAGATAGATAATATAATGTAATTAATATTAAATCATGTTGTGGGTAATTTTGACCTGAGCACAAAAGAACTAAGACTGTGATGAATACTGCCCCCTTCTGGACAGTGATGTCCCTGCAGCTGAGGACGCTCTGGACAGTGAGGTCCCTACAGTGAGGACGCTCTGGACAGTGAGGTCCCTGCAGCTGAGGACGCTCTGGACAGTGATGTCCCTGCAGCTGAGGACGCTCTGGACAGTGAGGTCCCTACAGTGAGGACGCTCTGGACAGTGAGGTCCCTACAGTGAGGACACTCTGGACAGTGAGGTCCCTGCAGCTGAGGACGCTCTGGACAGTGAGGTCCCTACAGTGAGGACGCTCTGGACAGTGAGGTCCCTACAGTGAGGACGCTCTGGACAGTGATGTCCCTACAGTGAGGACGCTCTGGACAGTGAGGTCCCTACAGCTGAGGACTGTCTGGACAGTGAGGTCCCTGCAGCTGAGGACGCTCTGGACAGTGAGGTCCCTACAGTGAGGACGCTCTGGACAGTGAGGTCCCTACAGTGAGGACGCTCTGGACAGTGAGGTCCCTACAGTGAGGACGCTCTGGACAGTGAGGTCCCTACAGTGAGGACGCTCTGGACAGTGAGGTCCCTGCAGCTGAGGACGCTCTGGACAGTGAGGTCCCTACAGCTGAGGACTGTCTGGACAGTGAGGTCCCTGCAGCTGAGGACGCTCTGGACAGTGAGGTCCCTACAGTGAGGACGCTCTGGACAGTGAGGTCCCTACAGTGAGGACGCTCTGGACAGTGAGGTCCCTGCAGCTGAGGACGCTCTGGACAGTGAGGTCCCTACAGCTGAGGACTGTCTGGACAGTGAGGTCCCTGCAGCTGAGGACGCTCTGGACAGTGAGGTCCCTACAGTGAGGACGCTCTGGACAGTGAGGTCCCTACAGTGAGGACGCTCTGGACAGTGAGGTCCCTGCAGCTGAGGACGCTCTGGACAGTGAGGTCCCTACAGTGAGGACGCTCTGGACAGTGAGGTCCCTACAGTGAGGACGCTCTGGACAGTGAGGTCCCTACAGTGAGGACGCTCTGGACAGTGAGGTCCCTGCAGCTGAGGACGCTCTGGACAGTGAGGTCCCTACAGTGAGGACGCTCTGGACAGTGAGGTCCCTGCAGCGGAGGACGCTCTGGACAGTGAGGTCCCTACAGTGAGGACGCTCTGGACAGTGAGGTCCCTGCAGCTGAGGACGCTCTGGACAGTGAGGTCCCTGCAGCTGAGGACGCTCTGGACAGTGAGGTCCCTACAGTGAGGACGCTCTGGACAGTGAGGTCCCTGCAGCTGAGGACGCTCTGGACAGTGAGGTCCCTACAGCTGAGGACTGTCTGGACAGTGAGGTCCCTGCAGCTGAGGACGCTCTGGACAGTGAGGTCCCTGCAGCTGAGGACGCTCTGGACAGTGAGGTCCCTACAGTGAGGACGCTCTGGACAGTGAGGTCCCTACAGTGAGGACGCTCTGGACAGTGAGGTCCCTACAGCTGAGGACGCTCTGGACAGTGAGGTCCCTACAGTGAGGACGCTCTGGACAGTGAGGTCCCTACAGTGGGGACGCTCTGGACAGTGAGGTCCCTACAGCTGAGGACGCTCTGGACAGTGAGGTCCCTACAGTGAGGATGCTCTGGACAGTGAGGTCCCTACAGTGAGGACACTCTGGACAGTGAGGTCCCTACAGCTGAGGACGCTCTGGACAGTGAGGTCCCTACAGTGGGGACACTCTGGACAGTGAGGTCCCTACAGTGAGGACGCTCTGGACAGTGAGGTCCCTGCAGCTGAGGACGCTCTGGACAGTGAGGTCCCTACAGTGAGGACGCTCTGGACAGTGAGGTCCCTACAGTGAGGACGCTCTGGACAGTGAGGTCCCTACAGTGAGGACGCTCTGGACAGTGAGGTCCCTACAGTGAGGACGCTCTGGACAGTGATGTCCCTACAGTGAGGACGCTCTGGACAGTGAGGTCCCTACAGCTGAGGACTGTCTGGACAGTGAGGTCCCTGCAGCTGAGGACGCTCTGGACAGTGAGGTCCCTACAGTGAGGACGCTCTGGACAGTGAGGTCCCTACAGTGAGGACGCTCTGGACAGTGAGGTCCCTACAGTGAGGACGCTCTGGACAGTGAGGTCCCTACAGTGAGGACGCTCTGGACAGTGAGGTCCCTGCAGCTGAGGACGCTCTGGACAGTGAGGTCCCTACAGCTGAGGACTGTCTGGACAGTGAGGTCCCTGCTGCGCTGAGGACGCTTTGGACAGTGAGGTCCCTACAGTGAGGACGCTCTGGACAGTGAGGTCCCTACAGCTGAGGACTGTCTGGACAGTGAGGTCCCTGCAGCTGAGGACGCTCTGGACAGTGAGGTCCCTACAGTGAGGACGCTCTGGACAGTGAGGTCCCTACAGCTGAGGACGCTCTGGACAGTGAGGTCCCTACAGTGAGGACACTCTGGACAGTGAGGTCCCTACAGTGAGGACTGTCTGGACAGTGAGGTCCCTGCAGCTGAGGACGCTCTGGACAGTGAGGTCCCTACAGTGAGGACGCTCTGGACAGTGAGGTCCCTACAGCTGAGGACGCTCTGGACAGTGAGGTCCCTACAGTGAGGACACTCTGGACAGTGAGGTCCCTACAGTGAGGACTGTCTGGACAGTGAGGTCCCTGCAGCTGAGGACGCTCTGGACAGTGAGGTCCCTACAGTGAGGACGCTCTGGACAGTGAGGTCCCTGCAGCTGAGGACGCTCTGGACAGTGAGGTCCCTACAGTGAGGACGCTCTGGACAGTGAGGTCCCTACAGCTGAGGACGCTCTGGACAGTGAGGTCCCTACAGTGAGGACGCCCTGGACAGTGAGGTCCCTACAGTGAGGACGCTCTGGACAGTGAGGTCCCTACAGTGAGGACGCTCTGGACAGTGAGGTCCCTACAGTGAGGACGCTCTGGACAGTGAGGTCCCTACAGCTGAGGACGCTCTGGACAGTGAGGTCCCTACAGTGAGGACGCTCTGGACAGTGAGGTCCCTACAGTGAGGACGCTCTGGACAGTGAGGTCCCTACAGTGAGGACGCTCTGGACAGTGAGGTCCCTACAGTGAGGACGCCCTGGACAGTGAGGTCCCTGCATTTGGAGAATCGGCAGTTTCTGTGTTGATTGAGGGCGATACGTGTGAATATCAGTGACATCACATTTTGACTCATGAGTGACTGGAAACACCCACAGACACTTCCTCACTCCTCACCACAGACTCAGGTGTTGTTCTGGTCTCACTCCTCACCACAGACTCAGGTGTTGTTCTGGTCTCACTCCTCACCACAGACTCAGGTGTTGTTCTGGTCTCACTCCTCACCACAGACTCAGGTGTTGTTCTGGTCTCACTCCTCACCACAGACTCAGGTGTTGTTCTGGTCTCACTCCTCACCACAGACTCAGGTGTTGTTCTGGTCTCACTCCTCACCACAGACTCAGGTGTTGTTCTGGTCTCACTCCTCACCACAGACTCAGGTGTTGTTCTGGTCTCACTCCTCACCACAGACTCAGGTGTTGTTCTGGTCTCACTCCTCACCACAGACTCAGGTGTTGTTCTGGTCTCACTCCTCACCACAGACTCAGGTGTTGTTCTGGTCTCACTCCTCACCACAGACTCAGGTGTTGTTCTGGTCTCACTCCTCACCACAGACTCAGGTGTTGTTCTGGTCTCACTCCTCACCACAGACTCAGGTGTTGTTCTGGTCTCACTCCTCACCACAGACTCAGGTGTTGTTCTGGTCTCACTCCTCACCACAGACTCAGGTGTTGTTCTGGTCTCACTCCTCACCACAGACTCAGGTGTTGTTCTGGTCTCACTCCTCACCACAGACTCAGGTGTTGTTCTGGTCTCACTCCTCACCACAGACTCAGGTGTTGTTCTGGTCTCACGGTGAAGAAATGTCAGTGTTGCATCAGAGAGTACAGACACAACAGGAGACAGAGGACACAGCACCAGAGAAATGAACAATAACTATCTAATAAATAAAATAATATCTAACTCTAGCATCAAAAGAAGTAAGTATAAAATCTGTATCTTTGGCTCGAGGAGGAAGAGTTAGAGCAGAAACATTAATGTCATCATTAAAGGGCCAGCGTCACAATAACCCAGACTTTAGCAGAACAAGGAGAAAGTATATCATATAAAATATTATAAAATAAAATGATATAATATATTATAAAATAATAAAATGTGTTTCTTTCTGAATGTTGTAAAAATAAAGCTTTGTTTAATCTTTATATATTTCTGGTTTTCCTTCAACTCTAACTTTAAAACAAACTTAAAGATAAAACACGTTCACAGCAGATCTTTATCTGATCATTTCCTTCCAACGCTATCGCTAACTCTAACTTTTACTCTAATGCTAACTCTAACTCTAACGCTAACTCTAATGCTAACTCTAACTCTAATGCTAACTCTAACTCTAACTCTAACTCTAATGCTAACTCTAACTTTTACTCTAATGCTAACTCTAACTCTAACTCTAACGCTAACTCTAATGCTAACTCTAACTCTAATGCTAACTCTAACTCTAATGCTAACTCTAACTCTAACTTTTACTCTAATGCTAACTCTAACTCTAACGCTAACTCTAATGCTAACTCTAACTCTAATGCTAACTCTAACTCTAATGCTAACTCTAACTCTAACTCTAATGCTAACTCTAACTCTAACTCTAATGCTAACTCTAACTCTAATGCTAACTCTAACTCTAACTCTAACTCTAACTCTAACTCTAACTCTAATGCTAACTCTAACTCTAACTCTAATGCTAACTCTAACTCTAACTCTAATGCTAACTCTAACTCTAATGCTAACTCTAACTCTAACTCTAATGCTAACTCTAACTCTAACTCTAATGCTAACTCTAACTCTAACTCTAATGCTAACTCTAACTCTAACTCTAATGCTAACTCTAACTCTAACTCTAATGCTAACTCTAACTCTAACTCTAATGCTAACTCTAACTCTAACTCTAATGCTAACTCTAACTCTAACTCTAATGCTAACTCTAACTCTAACTCTAATGCTAACTCTAACTCTAATGCTAACTCTAACTCTAACTCTAATGCTAACTCTAATGCTAACTCTAACTCTAACTCTAATGCTAACTCTAACTCTAACTCTAATGCTAACTCTAACTCTAATGCTAACTCTAACTCTAACTCTAATGCTAACTCTAACTCTAACTCTAACTCTAACTCTAATGCTAACTCTAACTCTAACTCTAATGCTAACTCTAACTCTAACTCTAATGCTAACTCTAACTCTAACTCTAATGCTAACTCTAACTCTAACTCTAACTCTAACTCTAATGCTAACTCTAATGCTAACTCTAACTCTAATGCTAACTCTAACTCTAACTCTAATGCTAACTCTAACTCTAACTCTAACTCTAATGCTAACTCTAATGCTAACTCTAACTCTAACTCTAATGCTAACTCTAACTCTAACTCTAATGCTAACTCTAACTCTAACTCTAACTCTAATGCTAACTCTAACTCTAATGCTAACTCTAACTCTAACTCTAATGCTAACTCTAACTCTAACTCTAATGCTAACTCTAACTCTAACTCTAACTCTAATGCTAACTCTAACTCTAACTCTAACTCTAACTCTAATGCTAACTCTAACTCTAATGCTAACTCTAACTCTAACTCTAACTCTAACTCTAACTCTAACACTAACTCTAACTCTAACTCTAACTCTAATCTAACTCTAACTCTAATGCTAACTCTAACTCTAATGCTAACTCTAACACTAACTCTAACTCTAACTCTAATGCTAACTCTAACTCTAACTTTTACTCTAATGCTAACTCTAACTCTAACGCTAACTCTAATGCTAACTCTAACTCTAATGCTAACTCTAACTCTAATGCTAACTCTAACTCTAACTCTAATGCTAACTCTAACTCTAACTCTAATGCTAACTCTAACTCTAATGCTAACTCTAACTCTAACTCTAACTCTAAACTCTAACTCTAACTCTAATGCTAACTCTAACTCTAACTCTAATGCTAACTCTAACTCTAACTCTAATGCTAACTCTAACTCTAATGCTAACTCTAACTCTAACTCTAATGCTAACTCTAACTCTAACTCTAATGCTAACTCTAACTCTAACTCTAATGCTAACTCTAACTCTAACTCTAATGCTAACTCTAACTCTAACTCTAATGCTAACTCTAACTCTAACTCTAATGCTAACTCTAACTCTAACTCTAATGCTAACTCTAACTCTAACTCTAATGCTAACTCTAACTCTAATGCTAACTCTAACTCTAACTCTAATGCTAACTCTAATGCTAACTCTAACTCTAACTCTAATGCTAACTCTAACTCTAACTCTAATGCTAACTCTAACTCTAATGCTAACTCTAACTCTAACTCTAATGCTAACTCTAACTCTAACTCTAACTCTAACTCTAATGCTAACTCTAACTCTAACTCTAATGCTAACTCTAACTCTAACTCTAATGCTAACTCTAACTCTAACTCTAATGCTAACTCTAACTCTAACTCTAACTCTAACTCTAATGCTAACTCTAATGCTAACTCTAACTCTAATGCTAACTCTAACTCTAACTCTAATGCTAACTCTAACTCTAACTCTAACTCTAATGCTAACTCTAATGCTAACTCTAACTCTAACTCTAATGCTAACTCTAACTCTAACTCTAATGCTAACTCTAACTCTAACTCTAATGCTAACTCTAACTCTAACTCTAATGCTAACTCTAACTCTAACTCTAATGCTAACTCTAACTCTAACTCTAATGCTAACTCTAACTCTAATGCTAACTCTAACTCTAACTCTAATGCTAACTCTAATGCTAACTCTAACTCTAACTCTAATGCTAACTCTAACTCTAACTCTAATGCTAACTCTAACTCTAATGCTAACTCTAACTCTAACTCTAATGCTAACTCTAACTCTAACTCTAACTCTAATGCTAACTCTAACTCTAATGCTAACTCTAACTCTAACTCTAATGCTAACTCTAACTCTAACTCTAATGCTAACTCTAACTCTAACTCTAACTCTAATGCTAACTCTAACTCTAACTCTAACTCTAACTCTAATGCTAACTCTAACTCTAATGCTAACTCTAACTCTAACTCTAACTCTAACTCTAACTCTAACACTAACTCTAACTCTAACTCTAACTCTAACTCTAACTCTAACTCTAATGCTAACTCTAACTCTAATGCTAACTCTAACACTAACTCTAACTCTAACTCTAATGCTAACACTAACTCTAACTCTAACTCTAATGCTAACTCTAACTCTAACTCTAATGCTAATCTAACTCTAACTCTAATGCTAACTCTAATGCTAACTCTAACTCTAACTCTAAGGCTAACTCTAACTCTAACTCTAACTCTAATGCTAACTCTAATGCTAACACTAACTCTAACTCTAATGCTAACTCTAACTCTAACTCTAATGCTAACTCTAACTCTAACTCTAACTCTAATGCTAACTCTAATGCTAACTCTAACTCTAACTCTAATGCTAACTCTAACTCTAACTCTAATGCTAACTCTAACTCTAACTCTAATGCTAACTCTAACTCTAACTCTAATGCTAACTCTAATGCTAACTCTAACTCTAACTCTAATGCTAACTCTAACTCTAATGCTAACTCTAACTCTAACTCTAATGCTAACTCTAACTCTAACTCTAATGCTAACTCTAATGCTAACTCTAACTCTAACTCTAACTCTAATGCTAACTCTAATGCTAACTCTAACTCTAACTCTAACTCTAACACTAACTCTAACTCTAACTCTAACTCTAACTCTAACTCTAACTCTAATGCTAACTCTAACTCTAACTCTAATGCTAACTCTAACTCTAACTCTAACTCTAACTCTAATGCTAACTCTAATGCTAACTCTAACTCTAATGCTAACTCTAACTCTAACTCTAATGCTAACTCTAACTCTAACTCTAACTCTAATGCTAACTCTAATGCTAACTCTAACTCTAACTCTAATGCTAACTCTAACTCTAACTCTAATGCTAACTCTAACTCTAACTCTAACTCTAATGCTAACTCTAACTCTAATGCTAACTCTAACTCTAACTCTAATGCTAACTCTAACTCTAACTCTAATGCTAACTCTAACTCTAACTCTAACTCTAATGCTAACTCTAACTCTAACTCTAACTCTAACTCTAATGCTAACTCTAACTCTAATGCTAACTCTAACTCTAACTCTAACTCTAACTCTAACTCTAACACTAACTCTAACTCTAACTCTAACTCTAACTCTAACTCTAACTCTAATGCTAACTCTAACTCTAATGCTAACTCTAACACTAACTCTAACTCTAACTCTAATGCTAACACTAACTCTAACTCTAACTCTAATGCTAACTCTAACTCTAACTCTAATGCTAACTCTAACTCTAACTCTAAAGCTAACTCTAATGCTAACTCTAACTCTAACTCTAAGGCTAACTCTAACTCTAACTCTAACTCTAATGCTAACTCTAATGCTAACACTAACTCTAACTCTAATGCTAACTCTAACTCTAACTCTAATGCTAACTCTAACTCTAACTCTAACTCTAATGCTAACTCTAATGCTAACTCTAACTCTAACTCTAATGCTAACTCTAACTCTAACTCTAATGCTAACTCTAACTCTAACTCTAATGCTAACTCTAACTCTAACTCTAATGCTAACTCTAATGCTAACTCTAACTCTAACTCTAATGCTAACTCTAACTCTAATGCTAACTCTAACTCTAACTCTAATGCTAACTCTAACTCTAACTCTAATGCTAACTCTAATGCTAACTCTAACTCTAACTCTAACTCTAATGCTAACTCTAATGCTAACTCTAACTCTAACTCTAACTCTAACACTAACTCTAACTCTAACTCTAACTCTAACTCTAACTCTAACTCTAATGCTAACACTAACTCTAACTCTAATGCTAACTCTAACTCTAACTCTAATGCTAACTCTAACTTTAATGCTAACTCTAACTCTAACTCTAATGCTAACTCTAATGCTAACACTAACTCTAACTCTAACTCTAATGCTAACTCTAACTCTGACTAACTCTAACTCTAACTCTGACTAACTCTAACTCTGACTAACTCTAACTCTGACTCTGACTAACTCTGACTAACTCTAACTCTGACTAACTAACTCTAACTCTGACTAACTCTAACTAACTCTAACTCTGACTAACTCTAACTCTAACTCTGACTAACTCTAACTCTGACTAACTCTAACTCTGACTAACTCTAACTAACTCTAACTCTAACTCTGACTAACTCTAACTCTGACTAACTCTAACTCTAACTCTGACTAACTCTAACTCTAACTCTGACTAACTCTAACTCTGACTAACTCTCTGACTAACTAACTCTAACTCTGACTAACTCTAACTCTGACTAACTCTAACTCTAACTCTGACTAACTCTAACTCTAACTCTGACTAACTCTAACTAACTCTAACTCTGACTAACTCTAACTCTGACTAACTCTAACTCTGACTAACTCTAACTCTAACTCTGACTAACTCTAACTAACTCTGACTAACTCTAACTCTGACTAACTAACTCTAACTCTGACTAACTCTAACTCTAACTCTGACTAACTCTAACTCTGACTAACTCTAACTCTGACTAACTCTAACTCTGACTAACTAACTCTAACTCTGACTAACTCTAACTAACTCTAACTCTGACTAACTCTAACTCTAACTCTGACTAACTCTAACTCTAACTCTGACTAACTCTAACTCTGACTAACTCTAACTCTGACTAACTCTAACTAACTCTAACTCTAACTCTGACTAACTCTAACTCTGACTAACTCTAACTCTGACTAACTCTAACTCTAACTCTGACTAACTCTAACTCTAACTCTGACTAACTCTAACTCTGACTAACTCTCTGACTAACTAACTCTAACTCTGACTAACTCTAACTCTGACTAACTCTAACTCTGACTAACTCTAACTCTGACTAACTCTAACTCTGACTAACTCTAACTCTAACTCTGACTAACTCTAACTCTAACTCTGACTAACTCTAACTAATTCTAACTCTGATTAACTCTAACTCTGACTAACTCTAACTCTGATTAACTCTAACTCTAACTCTGACTAACTCTAACTCTGACTAACTCTAACTCTAACTCTGACTAACTCTAACTAACTCTGACTAACTCTAACTCTGACTAACTAACTCTAACTCTGACTAACTCTAACTCTGACTAACTCTAACTCTGACTAACTCTAACTCTGACTAACTCTAACTCTGACTAACTCTAACTCTGATTAACTCTAACTCTAACTCTGACTAACTCTAACTCTAACTCTGACTAACTCTAACTCTGACTAACTCTAACTCTGACTAACTCTAACTCTAACTCTGACTAACTCTAACTAACTCTGACTAACTCTAACTCTGACTAACTAACTCTAACTCTGACTAACTCTAACTCTGACTAACTCTAACTCTGACTAACTCTAACTCTGACTAACTCTAACTCTGACTAACTCTAACTCTGATTAACTCTAACTCTAACTCTGACTAACTCTAACTCTGACTAACTCTAATGGGCGGCACGGTGGCTGAGTGGTTAGCACTCTCGCTTCTCAGCAAGAAGATCCTGGGTTCGAATCCTGGTCGGAACAGGGCCCTGTCTGCGTAGGTTTCCTCCGGGTGCTCCGGTTTCCCCTACCACTAAAAACACGTACCATAGGTCTGTGCCTCCTGCACTGGCCCCTCCCATCTCTGTGTGGAGTCACAGACATAAAATAAACTGCACTTATAAACTCTAACCCAAAAGAGAAAAAGAGAAAGTGTTTTTGATGCAGTTTTAATGAGACGCATGATTCTCTAAAACAGATGTTGTCGTCAGCTTCAGTTCAGATTATCACAGACACTTAATAAAACGTTCATAAATCTACACTTTCTGACACACTTCTGTTCATGTGTTCATCTGGATCTAAACAGACTGAGCTCTTTTCAGCTTTTTCTGTTGTTGGTCCTAAATCATGATTATTATTCTCATAGATCCATGTGTGAGACTGGTCCACTTCCTGGTCTAAGTCTGGTCTAAAAACCCACTTGTTCTCTTTGGCTTTGGTTGATTTGAGTGTTTGCTGTAAATAGTGTGTTCTTTGCCACAGATTTGTATTCTCTAAATGTGTATAATTGTGTGTCTTTTTGTGTACCACACTTTGGTCAACTGTTCTTATCTGTGCGTTATAAATAAAGTGGACTAAGTGTGTCTCATTCAGAGTGAAATAGTCTGTGTTTGCTCAGTCTTAGTGAGCGTGAGGAGATGGAAACGCCTCAGACCAGCAGCACTTCCTCTTCCTGTGAATCAGCACAAGTGAACCTGCCGCCTCTGTGCGCCCAGGGCAGATGCGGCTGCGAGTGGAAGCCTGATGCTGCGCCTCCTGAAGAGGAAATGAGTCTTTGTGAATCTTCTGCCGAGACTTGAGCCCGAACACAAGGTAAGGATTAGGACCAGGTTTAAAGACAAAGTTTAGTGATAAAGTTTAGTGATAAAGTTTAGTGATAAAGTTTAGTGATAAAGTTTAGTGATAAAGTTTAGTGATAAAGTTTAGTGATAAAGTTTAGTGATAAAGTTTAGTGATAAAGTTTAGTGATAAAACATGGTCTGCTTCCTGGAAAAGCATCAGTGTTTTTAGGTGGAACTTCAATAGTGTTTTTCAACCTGTGGGTCGCGGTACGTCAGTGTGCCATGGGGATATGTATGTGTGTGTGAGTGTGTGTCTGTCTGTCTGTGTGTGTGTGTGTGTGTGTGTGTGTGTGTGTGTGTGTGTGTGTGTGTGCGTGCGTGTGTGTGTGTGTGCGTGTGTGTCTGTGTGCGTGTGTGCGTGTGTGTGTGTGTGCATGTGAGTGCGTGTGTGTGTGTCTGTCTGTGTGTGTGTGAGTGTGTGTGTCTGTCTGTGTGTGAGTGTGTGTGTGTGTGTGTGCGTGTGTGTGTGTGTGCATATGAGTGCGTGTGTGTGTGTGTCTGTCTGTGTGTGAGTGCGTGTGTGTGTGTGTGTGCATGTGAGTGTGTGTGTGTGTGTGTCTGTGTGTGTGTGTGTGTGTGTGTGCTTGTGTCTGTGTGTGTGTGTGTGTGTGCGTGCCTGTGTGCGTGCCTGTGTGTGTGTGTGCGTGCCTGTGTGCGTGCCTGTGTGTGTGTGTGTGCGTGCCTGTGTGCGTGCCTGTGTGTGTGTGTGTGGAAACAGTGGTTTAATGAAGTTGGACAGGTCCATGATAATCCTGAAGTGTTTCTGTAGAGAGTAAAGACTGAAACAGGATTCTCTGATGTTTACTTTGGGACTGGGCGCAGGAGTCGACCTAAAGAAGTGTTTAGGGCTCAATAAACAACATCAATCATACAAACTATAGTTAAACTGAACCCTTGTTCCTCTTTATGCATCAAAGACTATATTTAAGGAAGTATTGTGCCTCTGCTGATACGGCTGCTCCCTACGACCCGCTTTTAATCCACAGCTATCTTAACTTAAAGGTACCCTTTGTTAGCATTAGCATCTTTGACCCTGGTTCTGATGCAGACCGCGTCAGGACCAGTCCAGCTTTAACTGAATTTAAAACATGAATATCCACACGGCTATTTGAGGAAATGCAAACCCTTTATTTGAATAAGTGAAAAACCGAAGTGAAAGTAACACAGTTCACAGCAGACACAACAGAAGAGTAACTGTGATCTATAAATATGAACAGACGCCGTGACGCTGTCGCTGTGACTGAACCTGAGAGAAGGTTTCCCTCCTGCTGATTTTTAACTGACCGCGAGTGGCCCCTCCCGCAGGAGAACGGGAAAAATGGCAGGTCCCGGCTCCAAAAAGTCCATTAGGACCTGCGCTGACATGCTGCAATCAGCGGGGGGTGGGGTGGGTGGGTCAAAAAATGGCTCTTGGTCCAAAAGTGGCTCTTGGTCCAAAAATGGCTCTTGGTCAAAAAGTGGTTCTCGGTCTAAAAGTGGCTCTTGGTCCAAAAGTGGCTCTTGGTCCAAAAGTGGCTCTTGGTCCAAAAGTGGCTCTTGGTCCAAAAGTGGCTCTTGGTCCAAAAGTGGCTCTTGGTCCAAAAGTGGCTCTTGGTCCAAAAATGGCTCTTGGTCCAAAAGTGGCTCTTGGTCCAAAAGTGGCTCTTGGTCCAAAAGTGGTTCTTGGTCCAAAAGTGGCTCTTGGTCCAAAAGTGGCTCTTAGTCCAAAAGTGGTTCTTGGTCCAAAAGTGGCTCTTGGTCCAAAAATGGCTCTTGGTCCAAAAGTGGCTCTTGGTCCAAAAATGGCTCTCGGTCCAAAAGTGGTTCTTGGTCCAAAAGTGGCTCTTGGTCCAAAAGTGGCTCTTGGTCCAAAAATGGCTCTCGGTCCAAAAGTGGCTCTTAGTCCAAAAGTGGGTCTTGGTCCAAAAGTGGCTCTTGTTCCTCTTAGTTCCAGATGCTGTCTGAGGGGAGAATATGTTTTTGGACCAGTCTAGTTCAGTCGCTGTGGACTGTTGAATTAGTTAGATGAACGGGGCTAATGCAGCTAACACATGCATGTAAGCCCCTCCCACATTCTCCTGTGGGAGGGGCTGCCCGCTGCCATCTTGAATCCGCCCATGTCTAGCCATCACTAGTCCATTAATATTTACAGAAACGAGTGGATTCAAAAGTCCACAGCGGCTAAACTAGACTGGTCCAAAAAAGAAAATGTCAGTGCACATGGACTTCTGAACCAGGACCCACTGCTTTGAACCAGAGAAACCACTGTGGCCACGATGGAAACAAGCAGCTCAGTCCAGAGTCAAACAGATGAACACATCAGAGAAGAAGTCACTGGGATAAAAGGGCAGATAATGTCCAGTCTCTAACTCTAACGTGTCGCGTTGGGCTGATTTTCAGGAGAGATGAGGGACCGACTGTTGGAGCTGCAGGGTCTGAAGTCTGAGGACGGGGATCCCAGGCCTGATGAAGACCACGGCACAGACGAAGAGAACTGGGACGAGATTCTCCTGCAGCAGCACGCCGTGGTGTTCCAGGGAGAGGACGTGATGGAGGGCATCTACAAGGAGGCCCAGGTCATGAGGAAAGAGATGCTCCTCCTCAAAATGGACGTCAAGCGCCTGAGCAAGCAAAACACTCGCTTCCTGACCTCGGTGCGGCGCTTCAGCAGCATCAAGCGGGACTCCAACGCTTTAGGGCGAGACATCAAAGCCAAGGGCGAGGCCATTTACAAACGACTGGAAAACCTGGGCACGCTGAGCCAAGAGCTGGAGGAGAAGCACGGGCCGACCTCAGCCGTGGTGCGCATGGTGCGGTCCCAGTACGTGTTTCTGACCAGCGCCTTCCACGGCGTCATGTCCGAGTACAACGAAGCCGAGATGATCCAGCGAGAAAACTGCAAAACGCGCATTCAGCGGCAGGCGGAGATCATGGGGAAGGAGGTGAGTCGGGAGCAGATCGACGAGATGATCGAGACCGGGAAGTGCAACGTGTTCTCGGATAACCTCCTGCTGGAAGGAAAGAGCGCTCGGTCGGCCTTGAACGAGATCGAGAGCAGGCACAAGGAGCTGCTGGAGCTGGAGGGCCGCATTCGGGACATCCATGAACTGTTTTTCCAGATGGCGGTTCTGGTGGAAGAGCAAGGGTCCATGCTGAACAATATCGAGGCGAATGTGTTTGCGACTCAGGACTTTGTGGCCAAAGGGACGGAGCAGATCAAGAAAGCAGTGAGATACAAGAAGAACAACCCGTGTAAGAAGATCTTCTGCTGCTGCTTCCCGTGTTGTCATTAAATACATGTCATTAGATCAATCAGAGAAAGCCAACGGTCTCTCTCTCTGGTCTCTCTCTCTGGTCTCTCTCTGGTCTCTCTCTGGTCTCTCTCTCTGGTCTCTCTCTGGTCTCTCTCTGGTCTCTCTCTGGTCTCTCTCTCTGGTCTCTCTCTGGTCTCTCTCTGGTCTCTCTCTGGTCTCTCTCTGGTCTCTCTCTGGTCTCTCTCTCTGGTCTCTCTCTCTGGTCTCTCTCTGGTCTCTCTCTGGTCTCTCTCTGGTCTCTCTCTCTGGTCTCTCTCTCTCTGGTCTCTCTCTCTGGTCTCTCTCTGGTCTCTCTCTGGTCTCTCTCTCTGGTCTCTCTCTCTGGTCTCTCTCTGGTCTCTCTCTGGTCTCTCTCTGGTCTCTCTCTGGTCTCTCTCTCTCTGGTCTCTCTGGTCTCTCTCTGGTCTCTCTCTCTGGTATCTCTCTGGTCTCTCTCTGGTCTCTCTCTCTGGTCTCTCTCTCTGGTCTCTCTCTGGTCTCTCTCTGGTCTCTCTCTCTGGTCTCTCTCTGGTCTCTCTCTGGTCTCTCTCTGGTCTCTCTCTCTGGTCTCTCTCTCTCTGGTCTCTCTGGTCTCTCTCTGGTCTCTCTCTCTGGTATCTCTCTGGTCTCTCTCTGGTCTCTCTCTCTGGTCTCTCTCTCTGGTCTCTCTCTGGTCTCTCTCTGGTCTCTCTCTCTGGTCTCTCTCTCTGGTCTCTCTCTGGTCTCTCTCTGGTCTCTCTGGTATCTCTCTGGTCTCTCTCTGGTCTCTCTCTGGTCTCTCTCTCTGGTCTCTCTCTGGTCTCTCTCTGGTCTCTCTCTGGTCTCTCTCTGGTCTCTCTCTGGTCTCTCTCTGGTCTCTCTCTCTGGTCTCTCTCTGGTCTCTCTCTGGTCTCTCTCTGGTCTCTCTCTGGTCTCTCTCTGGTATCTCTCTGGTCCTCTCTCTCTCTGGTCTCTCTGGTATCTCTCTGGTCTCTCTCTGGTCTCTCTCTCTGGTCTCTCTCTGGTCTCTCTCTGGTCTCTCTCTGGTCTCTCTCTGGTCTCTCTCTGGTCTCTCTCTGGTATCTCTCTGGTCTCTCTCTGGTCTCTCTCTCTGGTCTCTCTGGTATCTCTCTGGTCTCTCTCTCTGGTCTCTCTCTGGTCTCTCTCTGGTCTCTCTCTGGTCTCTCTCTGGTCTCTCTCTGGTCTCTCTCTGGTCTCTCTCTGGTCTCTCTCTGGTCTCTCTCTGGTCTCTCTCTGGTCTCTCTCTGGTCTCTCTTTGCTGTTAAAGAATGTTGTTGGTTCTTTCCCGTCTTTGGCCTGAGGAGGATATTGTTGAAGAAGTGTAAATACTGCTGTTGTTCCACTGCCCCCTACTGGCCACAGCCTACACCTGCAGGTGTTTCTGTATAAAAGCTCTGGAGTTTTCTCGAGGGAAGTCGTGAGTCAGAATCATTCTGATATATTTATTTCCACAGTGCCACAAGTGGAACAAATATCTTTCAGTTCCACTTTTCTTGTCAATTTGAAATAATTATAAATAGGTCATAAATTCTCTGTTTGGATTCATCCGGTGCATGTTTTTACAGTGTACTCACAGTCTGTGTTCGACAGATTCACAGAGTCTCATTGGTTTAGATTCCAGTTCCCATTGTGTTCCCATTGTGTTCCCATTGTGTGTCCTGTGTGTGTCCTTTGTGTGTCCTGTGTGTGTCCTCTGTGTGTTGTGTGTGTGTCCTCTGTGTGTTGTGTGTATGTCCTCTGTGTGTGTCCTTTGTGTGTTGTGTGTGTGTCCTCTGTGTGTGTCCTTTGTGTTTTGTGTGTGTGTCCTGTGTGTGTTGTGTGTGTGTCCTGTGTGTGTCCTCTGTGTGTGTTTGCTTTGCCCATTAGTCTGATGTTGAGCTGATAGAGCGGCTTCACCTGTGTTTGCACCAGGCCTTGTGTGTGTCTGTGTGTGTGTGTGTGTGTGTGTGTGTGTGTGTGTGTGTCTGTGTGTGTGTCTGTGTGTGTGTGTCTGTGTGTGTCTGTGTGTGTGTGTCTGTGTCTGTGTGTGTGTGTGTCTGTGTGTCAGTGTGTGTGTCTGTGTGTCTGTGTCTGTGTGTCTGTGTCTGTGTCTGTGTCTGTGTGTGTATGTCTGTGTCTGTGTGTCTGTGTCTGTGTCTGTGTGTGTGTCTGTGTCTGTGTGTGTGTCTGTGTGTGTCTGTGTGTCTGTGTCTGTGTGTGTATGTCTGTGTCTGTGTGTGTGTGTCTGTCTGTCTGTGTCTGTGTGTCTGTGTGTGTATGTCTGTGTGTGTCTGTGTGTGTGTCTGTGTGTGTGTCAGTGTGTGTGTCTGTGTGTCTGTGTCTGTGTCTGTGTGTCTGTGTCTGTGTGTCTGTGTGTCTGTGTCTGTGTCTGTGTCTGTGTGTGTATGTCTGTGTCTGTGTCTGTGTCTGTGTGTCTGTGTCTGTGTCTGTGTCTGTGTGTCTGTGTCTGTGTCTGTGTCTGTGTGTGTATGTCTGTGTCTGTGTCTGTGTCTGTGTGTGTATGTCTGTGTCTGTGTGTGTGTCTGTGTCTGTGTGTGTGTCTGTGTCTGTGTGTGTGTCTGTGTGTGTCTGTGTGTCTGTGTCTGTGTGTGTATGTCTGTGTCTGTGTGTGTGTGTCTGTCTATCTGTGTCTGTGTGTCTGTGTGTGTATGTCTGTGTGTGTCTGTGTGTGTGTCTGTGTGTGTGTCTGTGTGTGTGTGTGTGTGTGTGTGTGTCTGTGTGTGTGTGTGTGTGTGTCTGTGTGTGTGTGTCTGTGTGTGTGTCTGTGTGTGTGTCTGTGTGTGTGTCTGTGTGTGTGTCTGTGTGTGTGTGTGTGTGGCTCCAGCTCATTGCCCCAAAGCTCTCTCCGGTGGACCATCATTTCCTGCATGTTGTGTGTTTGATGGTACGACCAGGACCAGTGAAACCAGGAAACTAAACTAAACACACAACACTGAAGGATGGAGCTGGTTTGGTGAACGGTGCAGACGTTTCAGAACCATTTGTTTTCATTTTCTTTAAGCATTAAAAAAGTGATAAAAAAGTGACGCATTTTGACTTCTCATTATTTATAAAACTGAACAAAAGCCAAATATCTGTTTTTGTGTCATTTAGTTTGATCTTATTGTGTGTGTTTAATGTTTATTGTACGTTCATTTCAGATCCCGATGAACATGTTGTGTTGATATTTAAACCGCACAGTGTTAAAATAAATGCATTTCCAAAACACATTATAAATAAAAGCTGTTTCTGTGAAGCTTCAAAGGGAAGTGTTGCTAAGATCAGTGTCAGCAGAGATAACAACTGTGTAGTAACAGTTGTGTAGTAACAACTGTGTAGTAACAGTTGTGTAGTAACAACTGTGTAGTAACAGTTGTGTAGTAACAACTGTGTAATAACAGTTTGTGTAGTAACAGTTTGTGTAGAAACAGTTTGTGTAGAAACAGTTTGTGTAGTAACAGTTTGTGTAGTAACAGTTTGTGTAGAAACAGTTTGTGTAGTAACAGTTTGTGTAGTAACAGTTTGTGTAGAAACAGTTTGTGTAGTAACAGTTTGTGTAGTAACACAGTTTGTGTAGAAACAGTTTGTGTAGTAACAGTTTGTGTAGAAACAGTTTGTGTAGTAACAGTTGTGTAGTAAGTTTGTGTAGTAAGTTTGTGTAGTAACAGTTTGTGTAGTAACAGTTTGTGTAGTAACAGTTTGTGTAGAAACAGTTTGTGTAGAAACAGTTTGTGTAGTAACAGTTTGTGTAGTAACAGTTTGTGTAGAAACAGTTTGTGTAGTAACAGTTTGTGTAGTAACAGTTTGTGTAGAAACAGTTTGTGTAGTAACAGTTTGTGTAGTAACACAGTTTGTGTAGAAACAGTTTGTGTAGTAACAGTTTGTGTAGAAACAGTTTGTGTAGTAACAGTTTGTGTAGTAACAGTTTGTGTAGAAACAGTTTGTGTAGTAACAGTTTGTGTAGTAACAGTTTGTGTAGAAACAGTTTGTGTAGTAACAGTTTGTGTAGTAACAGTTTGTGTAGAAACAGTTTGTGTAGTAACAGTTTGTGTAGTAACACAGTTTGTGTAGAAACAGTTTGTGTAGTAACAGTTTGTGTAGAAACAGTTTGTGTAGTAACAGTTGTGTAGTAAGTTTGTGTAGTAAGTTTGTGTAGTAACAGTTTGTGTAGTAACAGTTTGTGTAGTAACAGTTTGTGTAGAAACAGTTTGTGTAGAAACAGTTTGTGTAGTAACAGTTTTGTGTAGTAACAGTTTGTGTAGAAACAGTTTGTGTAGTAACAGTTTGTGTAGTAACAGTTTGTGTAGAAACAGTTTGTGTAGTAACAGTTTTGTGTAGTAACACAGTTTGTGTAGAAACAGTTTGTGTAGTAACAGTTTGTGTGAAACAGTTTGTGTAGTAACAGTTTGTGTAGTAACAGTTTGTGTAGAAACAGTTTGTGTAGTAACAGTTTGTGTAGTAACAGTTTGTGTAGTAACACAGTTTGTGTAGAAACAGTTTGTGTAGTAACAGTTTGTGTAGAAACAGTTTGTGTAGTAACAGTTTGTGTAGTAACAGTTTGTGTAGTAACAGTTTGTGTAGTAACAGTTTGTGTAGTAACAGTTTGTGTAGTAACAGTTTGTGTAGTAACAGTTTGTGTAGTAACACAGTTTGTGTAGAAACAGTTTGTGTAGTAACAGTTTGTGTAGAAACAGTTTGTGTAGTAACAGTTTGTGTAGTAACAGTTTGTGTAGAAACAGTTTGTGTAGAAACAGTTTGTGTAGTAACAGTTTGTGTAGTAACAGTTTGTGTAGAAACAGTTTGTGTAGTAACAGTTTGTGTAGAAACAGTTTGTGTAGTAACAGTTTGTGTAGTAACAGTTTGTGTAGAAACAGTTTGTGTAGTAACAGTTTGTGTAGTAACAGTTTGTGTAGAAACAGTTTGTGTAGTAACAGTTTGTGTAGTAACAGTTTGTGTAGAAAAGTTTGTGTAGTAACAGTTTGTGTAGTAACAGTTTGTGTAGAAACAGTTTGTGTAGTAAC